AAACCCCCTTTTGCTTAATATATAGTATAGATAGATAGATATAGATATAGATATAGATAATATAATATAGATAGATAGATGTGTTGAAATTTTCAAGTAATTTTGTTAATGCTGGTCGTTAATGCATTAAAGTTTAATTATGAGGGAATTTTGACCAAATCTCCCAAAAGGCATAGGGATTGGAAGAAATTAATAAGTGTTGAGGTTTTTTTTTTTAAAATCAAAAAATTAAAAAATTAAGATTGAGATATTGGAGCTCCCACAAAACTTGTGGGTTAAAAACCCCCTTTTGCTTAATATATAGTATAGATAGATAGATATAGATATAGATATAGATAATATAATATAGATAGATAAATGTGTTGAAATTTTCAAGGAATTTTGTTAATGCTGGTCGTTAATGCATTAAAGTTTAATTATGAGGGAATTTTGACCAAATCTCCCAAAAGGCATAGGGATTGGAAGAAATTAATAAGTGTTGAGGTTTTTTTTTTTAAAATCAAAAAATTAAAAAATTAAGATTGAGATATTGGAGCTCCCACAAAACTTGTGGGTTAAAAACCCCCTTTTGCTTAATATATAGTATAGATAGATATAGATAGATAGATATAGATGACATAACTCTTCTATGATTGGCAAATTGAAATGCACTGTTATGTCTCTTAATAATTTGGAAAAAGTGGCAGACCACCAGTGGGGGTGACCCCCAGGGCCCCCAGTGGGGCGTGATTGGTGGATAATTTTTTTTTTTTTTTCCCCTTGGTTCACAGCCTCCCACGTGGAGGTGGGGGTGCTGGGGTCCCCAGCACGGCTATAATAATTTAATGAAAATGACTAAAATATCCAAGTATATAAGTGACCTAAGTGTGTGAATTACAGATATTTTCGTCATTTGTTTGAGAGGTAAAATACATTTTAACCCCATGTACTTTATTTCATGTGCGATTTATTGAAATTTGAAAATAAGCATATAACTCCTTTATGTCTGGCATATGTTTCACACTTGATATTAAGTTAGACAAAATGTTTAATAGGGCACTTTAGTTGACAAACCATAAAAAAGTTATATGATTATTTCAAAATGATAGGGAATAATCTACACATAAACAAAAGCACAAGAGGTGACATGAAAGTTATTTAATTTTTATTTATTAGTATGCACTGCTTGAATAGGTCTTACCACGGGTGATCAAGGCATCAGGACTATAGGGGTGATCAAGGCATCAGGACTATCGGTATGCTTCCTACAATGTCGTAAGTTCAAAACATCTCAGGTACAAATGATTTTTTAGAGTGAATTCATACGTGATTTTGCCTCGATTTTAACTAGCTCCCCTGTTATTAGATTGATTCTCAACTAATCGATTTAATGAATTGAATATCAAATTATAAAATTTTTAAAAAGAAGTCATACGACACATAATTATTACCAATACCAAGTTATAAAAATAAAGTGAAATTCTATTTACACACCACAAACTCCCTCAGTGCACATCATTTTCTAGTTTTTTTTCTTTTTAAATTCCTATTGTATCCCTCAGCTAAATTATCCTTTTAGACATAACCCAAAAACTCACTCTCAGTTCACACACCACACTAGCCACCACCATCACCACTAGCACAGCCACAACCTCCGTCGCCGCCCTTCACTGCCACTTCGTCGCCATCCTCTGCCACCTTCTTTTTCCTTTTCGTTCTTTTTCTCCTCTTATCAATCCATTGACTACCCCATCACTTTGTCATCGGTGGCGACACTCATCGTAGCGTTCTCAGCCCCATCACTCCCTCCATCATTACAGCAATCATTCTCAGCAACCCACCACCTATATGACCTCCACCATTGTACCTCTTATTATCACTATCACAACCTGTACACACAGACAGACAGACAAACATTTGTATTTGATTGAAGAAACTTAGGGTTAGGGTTTCGGTGGGGAAAAAAGAGATGAAAGAGGTTCGGGTTTGAGAGGGAAATGAAAAGGAGATTATGGTGGTGGTTAGGGTTGCAGAGGGAGCAAAAAATGGAGATGATGGGGGAAGGGTTTGTAGGGTCTAGAGAGATTCACGGTGGTAGGAGAGGTTAGGTTAAAATGATCGCGAGAGTAGATGAAAGGCTAAGGACAACCGACTAGCCCGGTGACAGAATAAGCTAAGGATGGAGGCTTGGCCTGCTATAGAGGAGAAGGTGGCGGTCGGAGGGTTGGTGGTGGTTGTGGCAGCAAGGGCTAGAGAGAAACGGTGAGATTGGTAAGAAGAGAGGAAAATCATGGATAGGGCTGCAAACGAACCGAGCTATTCGCAAACTGGTTTGGTTCGATTCGTTAAGGGTTAGCTCGACTCAGCTCAGCTTGTTTAGTAAACAAGCCGAGCTCAAACGTGAATATTAGGCTCAGTTAGTAAACGAGCTCAAGCTCGAATAAGTTCTGCTCGTCAAGTTCGACTCTTTTATTTTTATTTAAATTATATAATAAATATATTATTTATATATTAAATAATAATAGCATAAATATATTATTTATGTACTAATATAAATAATATCTTAATTATTTAAATAAAAATATAACAAAATAACTTTTAATATAAAAATTCTTATCGAGCCGAGCTCAAGTTTGATTAATATTAATAAGTCGAGCCGAACTCGAGTTCAGTTAGTTATCGAGCAGAGCTCAAACTCAATAAACGAGCTTACTAAGTAAACGAGTTGAGTTCGAGCTCAACAAAACTTAGCTTGACTCAGTTCGGCTCTACTCGTTTGCAACCCTAGCTGTACAAGAGGGCGACTGGAAGGTAAGGGGTGGTAACTAGTTGTTGGTATTGGAGGTGATTAGGGTTAGGGTTTTGCAGGAGAAAATAAAGGGTTGTTTGGAATTATTTGAAAATTAGTGGGGTGTATTGTGATTAAATGAAAAATTTTAAATTGAGTGTGATGTGAATTAAGAGAATGGTATGTACTAAAAAGATTAGTGATGTGCAAATAGAATTTCTTAAAAATAAAAGAGTAAATTACATGAATTTCCTATTTAAAAGAGGATAAGTATATTTAATCCCATAACATTTTGAGTACTCTCAAAAGTTCACTACGCTTTTTTCTTTTTGTTCTTCTTTGTGCATTTGTTTTTCTCTACCTCTTTCTCTTCCTGATTTCCAACGATCAGTGATCACACTTTACTTCTTCTCTTTCTCTTTCTAATATATAGTCACTGGTGACCGACGGCCACAATTGGTTGGAGTTTAGCAGCAACCACCGATCACGGACTCCTAACTTCACCCTCACCAACGGCGAATGAGACAAGTTTTCAGTGAAGAAGATGAGTAGATCTACTCAAATTTAATGTAGATCTACTCAGATTTACATCATATCTGAATAGATCTACATGAGATCCGACTAGATCTAAACCAAAAATAGTTATCGGAGTATAATATTCTCTCTATATCTGTTTCTCTCATTCAATCTCTCAATTTTTCTACATTTTCTCTACTACACACTTCTATTTTCATATTTAGTGAATAAAAAATTTCAAATTATGAACAAGTTGTTTTCAAGTTTTAGTTACAGAAGGTGAAAATTATAAAATTTTACAGTTTCAGTTTTTTGGTGCTAAAATGTATCATGTTTTAAAATTGTAAAATTTTGCAATTTGATGACATGTTTTCCAGTTTGATTAATAAGGATAAATGTTTAATAGAATCATACTTTGTTTTTCAATTTAATCAATATTGGAGATTATTTACTTAAACCCTACAAAAATTAAAAAATAATATATGTTTTTCCCCATTATTATTGTTTGTTGTTATTTTTTTTTCTTTTAATTTATTAATATTTAACACATCTTACTATGTTTTTTCACTATAATTTCTTTATTTATTTTTTTTAACAATATTCTGGACATTTCAGTGAGTTTCCGACAATATTCTTGATGTTCAATGAACATTCTAAACATTCCCGCGACTTTCAGTGATGTTTAGAACACTCCGGCGATACTCCGGTGATGTTGAATATTCCAGCGAGTCTCCGGTGACTATCTGATGAAAGTTCGACGATGGTGAGATATAGCAGTATTTTTAAATTTGTAAATAAATAAAAAATTAGTAACAATTAAAAATATATAAGGCTAATTGTTACAAATATTTTATTTTAAGATTAAGAGCTTGTTTGGGATACCATTTGGGACTAAAATAGTCATATAAGACAAAATATCATATCTAACCCGTAATCATTTTATTTTTTCCCTCACAAAAATTAAAAAAATCAAAAAACTATTCTAAACGAGGTTTTTTAACCCTAGACTAAAATAATCAAAAAGTTAACCCACATCCCAAATAAGCTTTAAATAGTTTTTAACTTTGTGTATGTTTTTTGAAATGTTCTAAATAAGTATTTTCTATGAAATATGAGTTGGATATGGGTTGAGTTTGTAGTGATGTGATAGGGAGATGATATGATTTAAATAGAATTATAACTTTTTAATTTTTTAACTTTTTTAAATTATAACAAACAAAGCCCACTAAATATCCCCAAATAAAAATTATGATCCCATTTTTTTCAACCATTCACTGTGGGCATCTTTTTGAAAATTGTAAAAGTGAGCAGTTTGCCTCCGGTCTTTAATTGTATTGAACAGTGTTATTCGATTCATGGAGTTTATTACGAGTCTCGTTTTAATAATTTGAACCGTTTAAATGTGTAGAATTCGTCGAGTACTATATACTTGTAAAAAATTACGTTGATTGAATATCAATAACTATGTGATCAAATCAGTTTTGTATAAAAAAAATGAACGGTAAACAAATTAACAGTTGACAAAAAAATTGATAAGATCAATATGATTTTTTTTAGATATATAATATACGACGAATTTTACCCATTAAATAATTTAAATTATTAAAACGAGACGTATTATAAATTTCTCACAAATTAAACAAAACCCTCCAATCCGATTAGGTACGGGAGGCAACCTGCTCCCATTGTAAAAATATGAAGCTGAAGCCACACAAGCAAAAGTCCAATACGGAGGGCTTCTTACACACTCCAAAACCTTCTTTACGCGACATTCATTCGACAGCCGCTTCTCTCACTCTCAAATTTCTGCATCCTCCAAAAGCGTTACGCTTCGGATATCTTCACTATGACTTTTTCCCTCTCGCCTTTATTACCCAACTAGTAGAATTTTTAGTTCTAGAGAGAGAGAGTAGAGAGAGAAATACAAAATTCAAAGGTTGCTTCGATCAAGAGGATCATCGTCTCGCACAAAAGATTCTATCTTTGAGCTTAAACTGAAGAAATTTATGGCTTTTTGCTCTGGCTTTGCGTCTAGGAAGGGTTTTGATCGCTACGTTTATCATTCGTAATCGAAGCTTTTGAAAGAGAGAGGAAAGAAAGAGGAGAGGGAAGGGCTGAGAAAATTGGGTTTCGTGGGTATGGCTTTTTTCTCGACGTTATGTTGCGGGAAGGGTTTTGAGCGGTACGTGTACATTCATCAATTCAATTGCTCGAAGCTAAGGCTACTTTTTTTTTTCTTCTTCTTCTTTTTGTTAATTTTTGTATAATTTTCAGATTGTTAGTGTAATTGAACTTTGATTGGTGATTGGAAGTGTTTAATTTAATATATAATTCAAAATTTAATGCAGAATTTGGGGAAAGGAATTGGTTTTCCCTATGTTTGGTTGTGAAGAAAATCTTCTTTTTTTTTAAAAAAAAATCCCTACAGTTAGTAAATAATTGCTCGAAGCTAAAACTACTGTTTTTCTGTTAATTTGTAAAATAATTTTTAGATTGTTAGTGTAATTAAACTCTGATGGGTGGTTGTGGTGCCCTTCTTTGGCCTCAAATTATGATTGGGTTTTTTTATTTATTTTTTATTTTAATGTGTAATGCAAAATTCAAGAGAGAACATACATAATTTGGGCGAAGGAAGTGCTTTTCCCTCTGTTTGGTTGTCAAGAAAACCTTTTATTTTTCAAAAATCCTACAGTTTAGTGTATGAGAAATCAAGAAAATGAGCTTAATCCTGCTGTAGTAACTGTACAGAACTTAACTGAGTTTGCTTAGCATCTGAAGTGAAACATCTAAAATTTAATTGAAATATTTGCCCCCTAATGTGTGAGTGCTTAATTGCGCAGGAAAGGACAGGGGAAGAAGCAGCCAACGTGGAGGATTTTTTCTTTGAAGGAATTGCATGCTGCTACAAACAATTTTAATTATGACAACAAGCTCGGAGAAGGTGGATTTGGCAGTGTTTATTGGGGTCAGCTATGGGATGGATCTCAAGTAACAAACCAATTTTCTGCCTCTATCTATTTTATTTTTAAATAGTTATGCCTTTATATCTATAATTTCCAACCATATACGATTAAATGGTCAAGTAATACAGCTGTTATTGGGAAACAGTTAAGAATTATTTGAAAGAAATACTTTCTTTCTTTTTTTTGTGTTGGTAAGTTTGATATAAGGAAAAAGGAATTGCAAATTATTTGGGGATCCCTTTATTTTTCTGGGTTCTACCACATAATTCTTTTGAAGATTGGCTAAAAGTTTCAGAAAATGTCTCATGCATATATGATTGGTTCTATTAATATAATGATGGGGGATTGTGTGTAATTGGCAATATTGGTATGAATTTTTTGGATGCAATGCAACGTTTCATTGTGGGTTGTTTAATAAAGGGTAGTCCCAGTGCACAAGGCTCTTCCCACTGTGGAGTCTCTCCGATCAGATTGTAGGCAGCCTTACCCCGGGTGCAGAAAGCCCATCCAAAAAATTAGGTATGCCAGTAAGAAACAACACTAGGACATTGAAACAATTATAATACCTCAATCATCACGAATATTGTGAAGTGTAGCAATTTGTATGTTCTTACTACTTTTGCTGAAGGAATTTGTGCTTTTGTCAAGGGTCGTATTTGTTTGCACACCCTCTTGACTGACTTGTAAACCAAACTTAATTCATTAATACTTTCTTTGAAATAAAATGTGCTATCTTTGAAATTTTGGATCAGCATTTCCTTTAATAGAATTGAGCCCTTCTACATGGAGGAGGAGGTTTTGAATTTGGATGACAGTACCCAGGTACAATTCTATGTTTGCCAGGGAGCTTAAGTTTGGAGTTAGCTTATGACTTTAGATATGGAGGACCCAATACATCTCTCTTAATTATCGTTGTAAAGGAGGCTCTGAGAAAACATATCAGAAGCTCAAAGCAACTTGGTGCTTTAGAGGGGGAGATCAATGTCACACTTGTAATTGTTGTTTACAAACAACATTTCCCTTGTGTGACATAACCAAAAACCAACTTTGAGCCTGAAGAGATGACCTTTAGGCATTTTAATACAATCTTTCGGTTGAGGACAAATATAGGAAGAATCATTTAATTGGGTATGGACCGTGAGCATGTGCACTTTTTGCTCTAATGTCATGCATCTGCTTGTGTGTTATCACTACTTGTTCACATGCTATATGGAACCTAGTGATGTAATGGTTTAATGATTCTTGCACTTTGAAAGAAATGGTACTTTTAGCTTACTGTTTAGAATGTTGGAGTATTTACTCACTTTGCCCGTTTGTGTCATTGTACAGTCGAGATAAGGTCGGGAGACATTTAGGGATTGTTTGGGATGTCCTAAATAAGTGCACTTTTTAACTTTTTGGACTAAAAAGTTGAGAAAAAAATATGGTTGTTTGGGTTAACTTTTTGACTTTTTATGAAAAAATGTGTATTAAAAAATTATATAAATTAGTGTGTAGGAAAAAATTAGGATTGAGAGTTGTGCGGCCGTAATTTTTGACTTTTGGTGAATAGTGATAACATTTTAACTTTTTGAGTAACTTTTTGGCTTTTTGGCTTTTTTTCAACTTGCCAAACTTGGCCTTGGTGTGTCAGGTCAGGATAGAGGAATGCTAAAGCCTAGGCGAAAGTTTCAGAAGGGAAAGTGACTAGCTTGCTTTATAATTGCTTGTTTTGATGAGCACGTCTTATGTAGTTCTATTTGGAGGTCTAGACAGGAAGCCTGCTATTGTAATGAGGTGGCTAGAGATTTGTGGAGTAAAAAAACATATGGATCACATGGATTGATAAATCACTCATTGCTTAAAGAATTTCTTGCTTGATGGACATTGGACAGTTCTGATAACTTGAAGTTTACCATCGATGATATTCAATAAAGGAATAAAAGACATCCAATAAGATAGTGTCCTCATACCCAGTTCTTCTAGAGGTCACAGAAGGATGAAGTATACATTAAACTTAAATAACTTAGTTGCAAATAAATAAATAATGGTCCAATGAATAAATGACACCAAACCTGGAAGAGAGATCAAGGGTTAAATGTTGCCTGTGGCATTCAAGGGTAATCAGGAGTCACCTACTTGCACAATCCATCTGCAACAACTTGGAAAATTTATCTGCAATTTGCAGCTTAATCAGTTGCAAAGTTGGTAGTGTTTGCACTATTGATAATTAATAATTATTGCCAAGTGGTTTTGATTGCTTTTTTCTGCATTGTGTCATCACTATGGAATTCCTTGCCTCTAAATGTTAGCTGGCACATAGTTCCCATTTAGAGATGTGCAACTCCAGCATGTATGGTCAGTGAAACCTGTTAGAATCATATTGGTGCGAGTTACTAGATAGGCATCCTTGGAGATTATTTTCTTTTATCCTGCTGATGTCAATTTGTGCCTTAGATTTGAACATTCATTTAATTTTCAAAGACATTTATCATGACTTGGCTTATAGAATGAAAACCCTCCTTTGCATAACTTGATGACATTACAAAAACCTCTACACACTGATTCTGTCAAATTTCTAGGTACTTTGAAACACTGAACTGTTAAAAGAAAAAAAGAACTCTCATTGAGAATCTACTTGAGAAAATGATTATGCGACATCTCGTAATTTCTGGGCCTGCAAACTTGTTGAATTACCTTTAGATCTCACCCAAAAATCTTTTCCGTAAGGTAAATTTGTTCTTTTCATTTTTATAAGTGACAGAATCACTAGGATGATTCCTGCCAAATAGAATACGAAACTTTACCCTGACAGATTTTTTCTGCAGATTGCAGTTAAAAGGTTGAAGGTTTGGAGCAACAAAGCAGAGATGGAGTTTGCAGTTGAGGTTGAGATACTGGCACGAGTGCGACACAAGAATCTGCTAAGCTTACGTGGCTATTGTGCAGAAGGGCAAGAGCGTCTAATAGTGTATGACTACATGCCTAATCTGAGTTTACTTTCTCATCTTCATGGGCAACACTCAGCTGAGTGCCTTCTTGATTGGAATCGACGAATGAATATTGCAATAGGATCAGCTGAGGGAATTGCGTAAGCTTTTTGGACCTGATGTTCCTCTCTATATTTCTCTTACTCTCTGTTGTGTTTGACGTAAATTATTTTATAAGGGTGAGCATAATTTGGTTTGGTTCGGTTTAAGAAGAGACTAAGGACCAAACCACTACTTACGGTTTCATAAAATTTGAAACCAACCCAAACTATGAAAATTTTGGAACCAAACCAGATTGAAATAGTGAAACGTGGTTCGGTACAGGTTTGAAATACAGTTTCTAGAAATATGCCATCATTCACAACATGCTCATGCAATATTACTCACAAGCTACTCAAACATCAAGCAATATGCTATATCATTTTTCAAACAATAATTGTTTATATGATTATTAGAACTAGTTCTACTACTATACATAAACATGCGCACAGGTGCAGGTCCACCCTACCTTTCTTGAATCTGAATGGTTTCATGTTACAAAAGTTGCATATAAATATAATATCTAAATGGTTCCAAACCAGAACCTTAACTTATAAATCATGAATCAAACCGCGAAGTGCGGTTCACCTATTTTAGGAACCAAGACCAAACGGTGAATGGAGAAAACCAAACCAAACCAAACCTTATGATATGGTCTAGATTGGACCGGATTACGATTTTTTTAGTTTTTTGGCTCAGCCCTATTATTTAATGCAGCTATCTACACCATCATGCAACCCCACATATAATCCACAGAGACGTAAAAGCAAGCAATGTGTTGCTAGATTCGGATTTCCAAGCTCGGGTTGCTGATTTTGGATTTGCAAAGCTAATACCTGACGGTGCAACCCATGTGACCACTAGAGTAAAGGGTACCCTAGGCTACCTTGCTCCAGAATACGCAATGTTAGGGAAGGCATCAGAGAGCTGTGACGTCTTCAGCTTTGGCATTCTCTTGCTAGAGCTTGCTAGTGGCAAAAAACCCCTTGAAAAGCTCAGCTCAACAATGAAGCGCACGATCACCGATTGGGCTCTGCCATTAGCATGTGAGAGGAAATTCAGTGAACTGGCAGACCCGCGACTGAACGGGAAGTACGTAGAGGAAGAGTTGAAAAGGGTTGTCTTCGTTGCGCTTATCTGTGCCCAAAGTCAGCCTGAGAAGAGACCAACCATGCTTGAGGTGGTGGAGCTTTTGAAGGGAGAGTCGAAAGAGAAGTTTGCTGTTATGGAAAATGATGAATTTTTCAAGAGTCGGCCTGCGGATTATAATGATGGGTCTGGTGCGGATGAAGGGGTAGACTTCATCTCAGAGGAAAGAGAACCAAAACAAGAATTGACGGAGTGGGAGGGTGAAGCCGGAAAGTGACATGTGGCAGCTGAATTATAGGTTTGTGATTTTAGTGCATATATAGAATGTTAATTGAAGTTGTTGGGGCATTTTTTTTTTTCCCATTGTGCAAGGTTTTGGCAAGAATTGAAAGCATTGTTTGTGTGTTGCTGTGGGATTTGTGTGTGGATGTTTCGTCTGTAATTTTTTTTTGGTACCCTTTCATCTTTTTTCAGTATATGAATGACATCAAAACTGTTTGTAGTGTTTGTCAAATGATTTTCAGATTGCTTTGATTTCTTTGATTTTGTTGTGTTGGGTGCTCGTGCTTGGCAAACGCCATATACTAGAACCAATAAAACTGGATTTATTTATTTATTTATTTACTTTTTTTTTCTTGTAATATTGCTGGGCAATCCTAATCAAAGTCAGTCATGAAGTTCCTCCAAGTGGATAGAGTTTTTCTTCTTAAAAGAAGATTTCAACAGAACCAGCATTCCTTTTTAAACAAACTTGGGATAAGTACACGGGCTTAGTTGAAAAATTAGGGTTTTCTTTATCATAATTTGGTAACCCAAGAACCCATATATGGAAAACTACAATGCAACCCCTGGCTTTAATCTTTGACTTCACATACCATAACACATACACCTAAGACTGTCTTTGTTTTGATTGATTTTTTGAAAATAAATTTTTTTATTTTTCAATTTTTTTTGTTTTAAGTGTATTTTTTAAATATTTTAAGTAAATTTTTTACTTTCTAAATGTACTTAAAAAATTAAAATATTTGTGAAAAAATATTTTAAAAATTCAACAAATACAGAAAAATACAAAAGTATTGAATTTTTATAATTTTTTTTTTTATATTTTTGCATATAGTGAATTTTTTAAAGGGTCTGGCTTTGGTCCAGTCCACCATCAGACTGGACCGTGCTGTTGGGCCCGTGGGGGCTCATTACGGGTCCCTTTTTGAAAATCTGAACCGTCAAATGTGTAGAACTCTTTGAATATTATACACCTGTAAAAAATCATGTTGATCGGATATCGATAGCTATGTGATCAAATCAGTTTTGTATAAAAAAAAATGGATGGCGAATAAATTAACGGTTGACAAAAAACTGATTTGATCACATAGCTAGCGATATCCGATCAACGTGATTTTTTACAAGCATATAGTACTCGAAGAATTCTACACATTGAACGGTTAAAATTTTTAAAACGGAACCCGTGGTGGGCCCTCACGGACCCAACAGTACGGTCCAGTCCGATGGTGGACTGGACCAAAGCCAGACCCTTTTTTAAAATATTTTTTTCCCATAAATATTATATTTTTTCAGTGCATCTAGGTTACATGTATCTAAAAAATAAAATAAAATAATCATAAAAATATTAAATTTTTTTACTAAAAATAAAAAACTTAACTTTCTGAAAAGCAAGTTCAATTGTCTAAAACTAAACAGGATTCGTTAACAAATCAAACCAATTTTTTAATTGTTTCAATTGAAATCATAAATTTTTAAAGGATGAATTACACCAATGATCCCTATAGTTTGGGGTTTGTGTCACTATGATCCCTGACTTTTCAATTGTGACATATTTGACCCTAAATTTTAAATTTTGTTTCAAATATTGACAATTTAAGATACTATTGGATTTTTCAAGAGCAAATTCGTCAATTTGATAAAATATAAATTAATTTGACAAAAATAAATGTCAAAAAATTATTTTTGAATTTTTTAAAATTATTTCTACGTACTAAAGATAAAATTACATAAAATTGATAAATCTTTTAAACATTTATTTATTTATTTTTTTACAAAATTAATTTTTATTATGTATTTGGATGATGATCATGTAAAATTAATTTTTAAAAATTAATCATATAATTTTTATTAATTTTTATAAATTTTACATAATTTTATCTTTGGTGGGTAGAAATAATTTTTAAAATTTTTAAAATATTTTTTTTGACATTTATTTTTGTCAAATTAGTTTATATTTTATCAAAATGACAATTTTGCCCTTGAATTAAGCAATGGTATGTTCAATTGTCTTTATTTAGTCAGAGATTAAAGTGAAACGAGCCCCAAACTTTAGGGACTGTTAGTGTAATTTGCCCATTTTTAAAGTACTAACCATTCGTTTGTAATATCCGTTAGTTAGCAGAGAGTGGACACTTTAGGCTTGGTTTGGGGTGTTTCAAAAAAGTCAAAAAGTTACAAAAAAACAAAAAAGTTATCATTATTCACAAATTAAAAATATTAAAAAATTAATATACATAATATTTTAATCAAACAAAATTTACACAATTTTCCGGGCTGAATTGACCCTTTAGTACCGTGAGAAAAAAAAAAAAAGAATTACATATATAAAATCACTAAGTTGGACGAAAATGTTGGGCTCGTGGGGGCCACCACGGATCTCGTTTTGATAATTTGAACCGTCAAATATGTAGAACTTGTCCAGAACTATATGCTTGTAAAAAATCACGTTGATCGGAAATTGGTAACTACATGATCAAATCAGTTTTGTATAAAAAATGGATGGTGTTATGGTTAACAGCTGACAAGAAAAACTAATACGATCAGATAGCTATTGATATCCAATTAACGTAATTTTTTACAAATATATTATACTCGACGAGTTCTACACATTGAATGGTTCCGATTAGCAAAACGGGACCCATAGTGGGCCCCCATAGGCCGAACAACACCGTCCAATTTATGCCCGAAAGGGAGAGAATCAATCTCCTACCCCTACCCACTGCCCCTTGATGCTTCCGCTCGTACGCCCTATTCCATCACTAACTTTTCCTATACACTTATTTATATAATTTTTTAATACACATTTTTCATAAAAAGTCAAAAAGTTAACCTAAACCTTCATATTTTTTTCCTCAAAAGTACATTTATTTAGGACAATTCAAACAACCCCTATTTTTTTTTTTTTTTTTCCGACAATTACTCCCTACCTTGATCGTCAATTATCACCATCCCTATTTTTCCCCAATCCACTGCCACCACTCCATCCATTTTCTCCGTTCACCGCTACTCCTGCCCTTCCCTAACTCACTGTCACCTCTTTTATTCTTTACCTACTCCATAGCCATCTGCCATCTAAAACTATTTACAAAAAGTGATTAAATTATCTTAAATTACCCCTATAATTAATAGATGATTAAAATCAAGACGATTTAAAAAATTAAAGATTTAAATTAACAGGTGTTACTAGGGTCAAACCCTGATTTTATCTGAATTTTCCCTATGACGTTTGTGATGTACAACCTTTATAGTTTATTTTGGTTTGAATTTGTTTTACTATATAGCCTCCGTTTGGGGAGTGGATTGATTTTTTGATTTTTTTAACTATTTTAGTCTAGGCTAAAAAGTTTGATTTGGAAAAAGTTTTTTGACTTTTTTAGTTTTTTGGTGAGAGAATAATGTAATGATTATGGGTTGGATGTGATGTTTTGTTTGTTGTGACTAAAATAACATATTTTGTCTTTTGTGCCTAAAATAGTCAAAAAAGCTCTTGCCAAACGGATTATTTTACGAGAGAGTGATTTTTGAAATAAAATTAATTATTATGAAAATATTTAATAGAACACAAAATACAACCAGTTATAAAAAACATACATATATATATATATATATATAACTGCTTTTAGGTTTAAACAAATTAAGCAAATGACCTGCACAAATATTTTTATGTGCTAATAGATGTAAAATAAAGGAAAATTCATTCATGAATGTCATATGGGAAATTGTTGATCTATTTAGTCTTAAGAGTTTTTTATAAACCAATTAGTTTTTTTTGTTTTGAAAAGTTATATTTATTTGATTTGGTGTCATTTGAATTTAAGTGAATACCCTTTTGTGAATCATTTTTCTAATTTGTTTTTGGGATAAGAATGGAAATGTGAGGTGTGGAAGATTCTTTTTGGAGAGATTGGTGACTGAAATTTTGGTTGTCGAGCGTTGAAATCAACATTTTTGTTAGTGTGATTTTCTAGTATTACATTGGAGTGTTACATTAGAATGGTATGTGCAGAAAAAGTACAATAAGAAGTTTTTTTGAAATATTACATTGTTACGTTTAAAAAAATACACTAACGAGTTTTTTAATTTGTTATATTATTGTGTTTGAAAAAAGTACACTAATTTTTTTTTTTAAATGTTACGTTATTTAATTTGAGAAAAATACACTATGAAATTTTTTAATATGTTACATTGGGGTGTTACGTTTGAAAAAATATATATATTAAGGCTCCGTTTGGCAAGAGCTTTTTTGGCTATTTTAGCCACAAAAGACAAAATAGACTATTTTAGCCACAACAAACAAAATATCACATCCAATCCATAATCATTACACTCTTCTCTTACAAAAAAAGCCAAAAAGTTAAAAAATCCTTCACAAATCAAGTGTTTTTAACCCAAGTTAAAATAGCCAAAAAAGCCAAAAAACCAACCCACTTCTCAAAAGTTTTTGTGTGTTGCATTGATTGGAGTGTTACATTTAGAAAAATTACACTAAGAATTTCTTTGAAATGTTGAAAAAATAAAGTAAATTTTTTTTAAGATATTACATTCAAGTGTTTTGTTTGAAAA